ATACGTCTGAAATTTTCTTTTTTCAAAAATTGAGGTTCAATCGGGTTATCCTGAGTCGAAATTTAGCGTCTACATTGAACCTCAATTTTTGAAAAAAGGAAATTTCGGACATAGCAGCGTCAAAGTAGCATCTACTTTTTTTCTTACTCCTACTTTGAGCCTATCAGAGCCTATTTTTAGCCTATCAGAGCCTGCAATGCGCAGTCTGATCTGAGAATTGAACCCTACTTTAAAACTTTAGCAGGAAAAAAAGAAATTTCGGACGTATAGCAGCGTCAAAGTAGGATCTACTTTCTCTCTTACTCCTACATAAAAAAAGAAGAATTGAGGTTTAACGTAGACGCTAAATTTCGACTCGGGATAATGCAACATTTTTATTTTCGTAACATATATTGCATTTGTGTGCAAATGTATTTTTAAGTTTTCTCAATTAAACCCTGCGTTCGCGCTTCGATCCGTTCAGAACTCTGAACGCCTTACGATTACGCGTCGTAACTTTGCGCGATAATTCGCGCGAATATAATCATCACGAAACATTTCATCACCGTAGCGTGACACGTGACGTGCGTTTGAACTCTTTTCGAGTCCTAAATCACGCGGGAGCGACGTTTCACACGCGTCTAAACGACAATTAATACGCGCGATCGCCGCCGCGAGATAAAACGTAAACGAGGTAATGGCGAAATATAATTCATTGTCGTCCCTTGGCGACTTTCGTTTAAGGCATTATCACTCACGGGGAAAAAGAAACTTCTCGCGAGAGAGATTTAGTGGTCGCGAGATTTAGATCCGTACTGTTATTACATCACATAAATTACCTTTTTCCGCGCTCTAACGCGCGTATAACGGCATTACCCTCGATTTCGCGAGATATCCGCAAATTTTATTTATTTTAATATTTAAAAAAAAAAAAAAAAAACCGCGATATTTTTAATTGCGCGATATGGGTCGCGAAATGAATTTTAAAAAAATAATAAAATAACACGCGCACACAAACACACACTACGTACACGTCAAAGCGTTCTGCAAAAATAAAAGTTTTATTCTTCCACCGATTCCAAGGCCTCTCTCTTCCCTCTTTCTCTCTCCTTCCATTTTCTTCTCCTTCTCGTTTTGCCCTCGCGGGCGATAAGCACCCTTTGACCTTTCAGTTTAAGTTATTACTTTTATCCGACGCGGGTCATATGGGGCATAAAGGCTCGTTGAGGCATCGAATCGAGCTCTATCAGTCCAATTAAGAAGCACGCCGCGAACAACCAACATATGCCTCGATCGTACTCCCCCGTGCAACGGCGAGAACAACCCTTACATCACCCGCGTTGTCTTGCGCGCGTTTTTTTTTTTTTTAAATAGTATGTATTTTAAATAGTTGTATCTCTCTCTCTCTCTCTCTCTCTTTCTCTCTCTCTCTCTCTCTCTCTCTCTCTCTATCACTCTCTCTCTCCGCGAAGGTGTGAGAAAAGACGGTAGAGACGCGCTATTAATCACGCGCGAAGAAATTCTGTAACGTCACTCTCCTTGTCGTTTTAAGTAATTTCCTCCATAAAAGATGGAAAGCCAAGATCCTTTTGTGGACATAATGATCGTGCAAAAGTCAACTAATGGGGGATATAATGCTGGAAATCGCGAGCCGAGAGGAGGAATGTATCAAATTCGAAGATGAGAAAGAAAGAAAAAAAAAATCGCGCGAGACGTCCCGTTTTCCTCGAACGGCCCGGCTTCGTGCGAAGTCATCGTTCTTGTTTTTCTCAATACTTTGCGCGCGCGCATACACACACACACACACATGTATATAATATATATGTGTGTGTACGGTACTGTTGCGTGCATTGTTACGTCTCAATGGATACTCGCACGAAGTTGGCGTAATAATTCGAGCTTGTTAAAGAATACGGATGAAGGGTCTTTCAATATAAATTCTTGACACGTATATGTGCCTTGTGAGAGAAAGAGAGAGAGAGATCCGTTTACAAAGAGAACGCTGAGAGAGATGCTATTGTCATTATCGGAAAATCTGTCACGAGAAAATGAGTGACGAAATGCGAGGCACGTGAGTGCGCGCGACAAATCAATACCATACGCGGACGACCGGGTGTCATTGTGACAGAGAAAGAAGATAAATGTAAGATGTGTGCATCTTTTCTTGCTTAACCCATTTGCATCATAAGCGCATATATGTGCGCATTTTGCCCGGCCACTATCACCAGAGCGCATATATGCGCGCATTTTACTTAGGCATTTATCACCAAAGCGCATATTGCCTTGATCACTTCAAATATTATCACGTTGTGCAAAATAATTAGATTTCATTCCGTTTATTTTTGTGAATCTATGATGAAGTAAAAATTCTTTATTTATGCAATATTGATTTTATTTTTCATATTTTGTAACATTTTCATTAAAATTTAAATACAGTAAAAAAAAATTTTGGTGATAGGAACGAATTTTTGACTTTTCTTTGTGATGCAAATGGGTTAAAATAACAACTTCGAGAGTAATAGTTAAATTAAACACAAATACAAGCATCGAGCAAAATATATTACAAATCAAAGGAAGAAAAACGAAATTCGATTCGAAAGAAAACGTTGATGAAAAAAAAAATATCGAGTCGAATCGAGATTTGCATGAAATTCTGAAGAAAACACTTCTCTTGAATTCTCTTGTGTGTAGAAAAATCACTTTGCATAGCGCGCTTCTTTCCCACAATCACATTCCCGCGCGAACGTCAGCAAGAAGCCGATCCAACTTCCGTCATTCTCAGCGAAATCGGGGGGGAGGAGGGGGAGGGCGGATGATTTCCGTCGGTGATTTAGAAACGCGCGCTCATACAAAACACACACAGGCGAGCGCGTGTCGCGAGGGATATTTTAGGAGGGAAAATGTAGAACACGCTCGTGTATAACAAACCGCTTCTTCAATTTTTTTTTTTTTTTTTTTTTTTTTGTTGTCTCGGATATGCGGTCATCGAGTCAGAAAATCATCGTCCGCTATTTTCTGCAATTCATACTCGGCGCGCTCGCGTGCGCCCCGTATAGAGAGTCATCGGCTCGGGAAATCATCATCCGTCATTTTTTACAATGTATGCACATTGCGCTCGCGTGCGTGCGTTAGTACTGTGTATCAAAGGGAGCTCTCGAGTGACGGTATTATGCCGGGTAGTCGAGCACCTATCCCTCCCTCGCATGTATATATATATAGACAGACGGAATGATTCTTTAATGCGTTCTCCCGCGTGGTCGACAAAACGCGATCAAAGATTGCCGGTTTTCCCTCTCTCTCTCTCTCTCTCTCTCTCTCTCTCTATTTCTCTAAAAATAGAAAAATACAATAAACGCCAACTTTTTTACTGCAGCGAAAAGAAAGAGACCGTGTATTTGAAAAGTATAATATAAAAAAAAGAGATTTGATTCTGTTCAATAGGAGAAACCGAGGATTTCGTGAGCGCGAGAGATTCGGCACCTCATCTCGTCGCGCGCAAATCGCCCGAGAATTGAATCGAGACGGTCCGAAATGGGCCGTTATCGAACGTTAAAGAACCGAACGCTCTCGGGGAGAACAGCGCGAAATCGGTTTCCACGTTGTGTACACAATGCTCTCGCGTGGAACCAATAGCCCCGCGCCGAGACTGTGGTTAGACACAGCCCGCTTTGTCATTAAAGGGAAACGCCGAGTGTTCGAGTGGAGTCCATCCGAGTATCGAAATGAATATGCGGTGAACGCGCGCCCGGCCCCCGGTAGCAATCGAATGTGCAACAGTGTGGATCGCAGCCTCGCAATTAGATTCGCGGTCTGCACGGCGAATCGGGATCGGTATTCCGCCCGGTTCCCACACCGCGCGAGAGAACCTCGAGCCTGGAACCGCTCTTTCCCGATCCCGGACCCGGTCGTGGATTTAAATCGCCGAGCTTAATGAGCCTGTACCTCTAGGCGCGATTATCCGCGTGTCATAATTAATTAAAGGATCGTGTCCAAGAGTCCACTAGGCTCTCTCTCTCTCTCTCTCTCTTTCTGTCTCTCTCTCATGCTGCTCTTTCGCGTTTGTTGTTTCGATATAAATTTCAGAATATCTTCTCGGGCACTCTCGTGCGCGCGCTAATCCGCGCGGTACACGCGATTAGAATATCGCTCGCGATAAATTGCAATATCTGCAAACGATATGCAAACAAAATTAACGCTTCGAATCGTAAAATTAATCGGATTGCGAATATTAAATAAAATCATATTATTACACAACACGATTTACGCTACAATTATTGTTACATTACATCGTAGCCTCTTGCACACTCGCTTGAATTTTTTTCAATGCCAATTTTAATCTCTTTTTTTTTCTCCTGACAGCTTACTTAAGCAAACATAGTTTCGCGAAGTGAAACTATGCGCACGCGCGCGCGTGTGTAATATTCATAAATTATATTTATAATAAAGACTGTTTTTTTTCCACGAAACTAGAGAGGTCTTGAGAGTTTTTTTTTTCCTCTTTATCGCAAAAACAGATTTGCTGAACCGAGCAAGGGCAAAGCGTGCCGCACGACTATGTCGATGACCCAGTGTTGGTACTGAAAAATGTATGTCGGCCGTCAGTCCCGTTAGAAGGGTACATTGTCTCGCAAAAGGGATGACGGCCTGGGCAAACGTGACACGTACGCCTGAACTTGACGGCGCTGGCGTGACTGGCGCGTATTGGGTGTGGACACACGGTGACTGAAGATAAACTAACAACGTGGGTAAACCATGCTTGGAATTACCTTGTAATAAGGGGGATACGGGGGAAGAACGGAAAGAGCGAGCTCGCAAGCATTCTCAGTCTTCTATAAATACGTACGTCGGCCACGCTCGTGACAAACGCGCGCGTATTATAAAATCAGTTTTCCCGTACGAACGCCACATTGAGCTCGAAGATTTTTCTATGTGTGAACGAGAGACTCGTGTAAATTATTTATTTATTTATTTTACACAGTTACGATTAACGTGCGTAATAAAATACATGCGCGCGTATGTACCTGATGGAAGCCTAGATAACTCTCTATGCTGTGGGTGGCGAAAAACACTTCCCCGTCGCAAGTCAATATTAGCAGGAACCCGTTTAACGCCTGAAACAGAACATCAATTTATTAAATTAACAATTAAAACAATTTTTTGTGTTGCGTTTAAAGAGAGAGTCTTTTTCAAGTACTAATTGATTCGAGAATCGATTTTAATTCGGACAAATGTCGTCGGTTGAATAAAAAAAAAAACACACACACACACACATACACACGGCAAAACTGTGTGTTCGGCATAGATCATAATCGAAAGGACTGCTCGGTTTCCGCAGCAAGTTCAAGAGGGCTAATTCGTGGCGTGGATAAGTTGAGAGCACTTGCGAAAATACAGGCTTGAACTTAGACGTGCACGAACGTGAGTGCGTCCCGCGAGAACAGAGCGGCACGAGAGAGAGAACGAAGGAAAGGGCACGTTTGCCCTTTTTGAAACCGAAGACCTGTGAAGCGTTTCGCGGCCGCGGAATCGCGTCCGAAAATGTTCTCCAAGGCAAAGTTTTCTCTTTCTCCGTCCGCGAACTCGATAACCGGCAAATTGCCAACTTGCTCAAAATATCCAAATCACGTCTAAACGAAAGCTTTTTTTAACATCGCGAATTGTATATATCGCGATTGCATACATTATTCGCGTGTGTTTCTGATGAATTTATAATTTACCCTCACACAAAAGAGCGTGCAACAAAAAAAAAAAAAATAACAGCAGCGATAATAAAAAAAAAAAAAAAAAAATGGTACCAAAAAGGAGAAGCGAATTTTGGAGCGAATAAATTTTTGAGAACAAAGGCTACGTGCGCGCCGATAAGAATAATTCAAGGACGTAATCCGACGTGGCACACACGATTAAGCTTTCCGAAATACAGGGGCAATTTCGAGCCGCCACGCGAGAATAGTGCGGCGGCACGAAAACGGAAGGGTGCGTTGCCTTTCGGAAAGCGGTCGAGAGAGCCGGGCGAGGCGCTTGTTTCTGCCGGGAACGCAGCGTTGAAAACACCCCGGGAAAGTTTTCCCATTTATCGGCGGTCCCGATACCGGCAAATACCAAACGAGCTCTCCTTCCGTCTCTCTCTTTCTCTCTCTCTCTCTCTCTCTCTCTCTCTCTCTCTCTCTCTCTCTCTCTCTCTCTCTCTCTCTCTCTCTCTCTCTCAACAGCGAAATGCAGCGCATCATCAAAGCCGAAAATATCCGTCCCAGTTTTAACAGTCTTCGGGCCGCGCGCGCGCTACATCGGTCGGAAGAGGGGGTGGAAACCATTTAAAGCCTCGTCCGTTCGGCCGTTCTGCGAAACTAAATGTGTATTGTTTTGTTTTATTTCGGAGTGGCGGTGCCAGGCACGCTACTACACGCCCGAGAATTTATTGTTCTGAAATATGGTGAGCTCGCGCTCTGAAACTAACGTACAAGAAATATAAAGAACTAATATCCCCGATTCTCGTGAAAAGTAATTTTTTTGCGGCTTTTTGCGCCTCAGTCGCAACTTGGAATACAATTAAACGAGGAAATAACGTTGAAAGATCAACAAAAGAAAGAATTTGCTACAAATCATCGTCGGATGCGCGAGGTTTTCTCGCTTTTTTTCTCTTATTTTTGCGCTATCGAGGATAATTTCTCGGACGCATCATCGAACGCTTCTGCGCTATGCGCGGTCGTAAAGTTGCGATAATTGCGGATATCTCGCGGCTTCCTAATCCCGGCTTCCGACGCTCGCAACGAACGATCGCAGACTTTGTAATATCCTATTATTCTCGGGAGGGTGAGGGTTGTATTTCTTAGAAACGGCACGTTCTCGATAATTATCACGCTGATTACACAGTTAGCGCGTGCGTGCGTGTGTGTGTGTGTGTGTGGAAATTGTTATCTAATCTAAATTGCGATATATGTCTAAAACCTGAAATTTAATCTGAACGAGAGTGCATCGATTTTTAGTTTTATTACTTTATTGTTACTTTTTGCGCGCACTTACACGCACACAAATCAGCTAGTTAAAAAAAAAAAAAAAAAACTTTATCTTTACAAACGTTCGAAAAATTATATCCGTAATTTAATTGCAAAGAAGAATTTTATACACACAGCTTTGCAAATTGTTTGCGACTCGTTCGCGCGTCTTCGCACCTTCGTTATGACGAGAAATAGGTATGTGTCACTGTGTCAAACTCGCGGGTTTCGTTTTTCATCAACGAGTCGCCGATTTCGCCCAACGATAGCGTGGCATACAAAATGGCACACTTCCGTGCGATCGCATGCGCGGATGCTGCGCTTTGATTGGTTAATCCGCAGGGTGGGCTCCTCTGCGTTGCGTCAATACGGGATGTGCGCGAGGGGTGAGCCACGGAGCTTCCGACCTTCTCCCTCCCCCCCGCCCGCTTCGCTCCCCTTCTCCCCTTGCGCTGTACCACGCCGCGCGTAGGATACGAACTATAATAGGATTTTCTCGGCGTGCGCTTCCCCCTTTTCCCTTCGAAATGGCCGACATGAGCCATTCCGCGAAAGGCGTCATCCCGCGAGACTCGTTCGCCGTTACCTACTACTATAATTGCATTGTTTGGGGAACAAGGGGGAGGGGAAAGTAATCGAGTTTTCACGATCGACCGGCCGACTCCTCGCGGTCGTTACGATTATATTTCGCGTCGGAGGTTTTACGTTTTTCGCGTGGATACGAGCAAACGATACATTTTTATCGGTAACGAATCGGTTTTTTTTTTTTGTTAGCAATGTAACTTTCTGACAAGAGTTAATATTATTCAAACTGTAAAGATATATTACATACAATATTTGCGGAACTTAATACGGGAGTAATTTCTGAAAACGAATAAAAAAAAAAAAAAAAAAACAAACGTTTAAAGCGACTCGCGAAAATAAGTTTTGCATGATGATCGATTTGATGAATATTAATCGAAGCGTAGACCGCGCCATCCAGTTCCTTGAACTCTCCCCCCGTTGAAAGAGCGATTGCCTGTCCGGGCGATTCCGCAATCTGCATACCGATCCGTGCGATTCCGATCCGTGGCCGTGACTCGCATGAGCGAAGAAAATGGAAAGATTTCGTGCGTGAAGTATTATTGGCGACCCGCTAATACCGGGAGAGTCTCAAGGTGAGGATGAAGGGGTATTAGAAGTTCACGCTTGGACGGAACACGCGAGTGCACTCACGAGTGGCACGCGACTGATTCGCCGAGCGGCTCACGCGAGAAGCAGAAAACCGCGTGTGTGTATCTTTTTCACCACCTCTTCCTTCCTCTTTCCTTTTCTTCGCTCAGAGAAAGATATATATATATATATATACATATATATATGTATACAGCCGCGATGCGTATAACCGCACCGGATTTGATGTCAGAGATTTTACGCGTAGAAGAGAAAAACGGAATTTTATCAATATCGCGAGAGCAAATATTCCATCCCCGCGTTTTATTTTGCAACAAAAACGCGCTTCGCGTACACAGTCACCGCGCTAGAAAACTTTCACGTGCGAAATGTGTTCTCTCGCATAAAATTATATAGCACAAATTTCTACTTTTTTATACGTATCACATTTCCATACCTAATTGTTTTCGTAAACTGTTTTTTTTTTTTTTTGCAAGAAAATGAGATGCAGAAAACTAAAATAAATCGGTTCGAATCGTATTAATAATTAACCGAGTTTCTCGCCCGACGATTCTCTCGCCCGAGAAAAAAAAAGAAAGCTACGTTACAAATACATCGCTCAATAAATAAAACGCTCGGGCATCACGAAGGTGTAAAATACACCGGACTGTGCATTTTAATTCAATACACCGAGAGAGAGGAGAGAGAGAGAGAGAGCAGACTCGAAACGCGTGTTCCTAATCAGCTGTTGATGCACGATTCCTACAAAGTAGAAATTAAATTTGCCGTGCCGCGCGACGGTATTTGTACAAGGTATCACACGGGCGCCTATATACACCCGCCCACACACACACACACACACACACACACACACACACATTCAAACAATCGTTCCGCAAACTCGTTAAGAGAAAAAGATACGAGAGAAAACGCAGCACACGGAAGCGAAAGAGGAAAGAAGTCGTTCGCGCATTTCGAGAGATCAATAAAGGTGTCGAAGATAAGAGATAAAGAGAGAGAGAGAGAGAGAGAGAGAACGGGGGAACATGAGCCGGGCGTTAACGCGTTTCGTGCCAATTTTTTTTCATGGCTTTTCATTTCCATACGCAATGAGTCATACGAGCTCGCCCAGCGCGTTTATATATCGCGCGCGTTGTTGTGTTATTATCGTTTATGATCGCGTCTTGCATTCCGTCGGGGTGTATGTTACCGATTGAAAGAAAAAACAGTACGTTTGATTTTCGGTCGCGTTCTCTCTCTCTCTCTCTCTCTTTTCCTCGTCGTTGGTATTTATCACGTTTCGGTAGCCGCCTCCGGCTACCGTTATCGGCCGACTAATTGCGTCCCGGGCGAGCACGCGACCGAAAACTGGATCACAGCCGCGCTAATGCGCGATCCACCGTGGAATTTCGCTGTCAACCGCTCTGCAATAATTCCGATAAAATGTAGATCACGAAGTTCGAAAACCACCGCCATTACGCTCGACTCAAAATAAAGCATTATAGTCGTAACGACTAACTCCGCAGCGCGCGGACAAATACGCAAATTTGTAAATGAATTAAAATCAAAATATTCGCGAAAATTTCTCTTTCATCTTTGTCTCAACGCAACTACGCTGCGAGAAAGAAAAAGGGAGAGAGAGAGAGAGAGAGAGAACTTCACCTGCCGCGCAGCCTTGCCTTGACTTGCGTACGCAAGAAAAGGGCTCGGAACGGATATCTTTGCAAAATCACCCGGCGTCTTGTAATTCATTGGTCGCTCTCACACGTCCAGCGCGCGTGACGGCGCCTTTCGGACCCCTTCGTTAATTAAGCACTTCGGCATCGCATCCTGTTAAGGCCGTTAAGCGACTTGGTAAATACCTCCCTTTCCTCAAATTGCACGGGTGCGCGAATATGCATATATATATATATATGTGCAGCGCGCCATCCCGCAACCTTGCCATAAAAACGCGCGCTATCAGATGACGA